TCCTTGGAGGCTTTACCTTTGATGTGGCTTTGGGTATACTATACTGATGTAAGCAAGAGGAAAGCCTTGTCTCATTTGAAACTTTTGAAGAGTGAGTCCTGCGACTGAACACCTCCCCACTGAGGCAGGCAGCTGGGCCATCTTGGTTTCACCGAGGTCAGAAGTCCTGTGGACTTCAGGTTTGCATTTGGCAACAGTATGAGATTCTTCTAGAGTCCCAACGTGGGGCTTGGCATGCTTTGTCTTCCTCTTAGAGCTAGGAATTGCTGCAAAACTGTGCTGACCTCTGTCAGGGCTTGTCATTGGTATCAGGATGAGAACCATAATGCCATCTTACTCGATCCAGTTACCCATGAGAAAGCCAGGATCCTAGTGTCGCTTTGTATCTGCTCTGTCCTTCTTGGCTGCGTTTCACCAGTGTCTTGATGGCTTAACGCCAGTCCTTTGGGATGAGTGGGAAGTCACATAGGGTGCTCATAGACTGAATGGTGGCCAGTCTCCGTCCCTGGTTACAGAATCTTGGGTTTCTGTCAACGATGCCATAGACAGGAGTGGTCAGTGGACATTGGGGAGGGTCTCCAGGGCCCATTTCTAGGGAAATTTAACAAGCCACCCAAGTTGGTACAATCTGTGCTGTGTCATTCATTGGTTGATCCTTGACAGCGCCCTCTCTACCTCCATTTACCCAGTTGTAAATAGTGCATAGAATTTGCCTGCAGGGCTGTGGTAAGATAAAGTGGAAAAATACTTAGAAAGTCCCAAATACAAAGTTGTACAAAAGGGCAGTTTCATTTGATATTGCTCCTAGGTGATAATAATGTTTTAACATGAATTCCAAATTGCTATTCTGAGGTCAGAGGTCAGTACTGTAGCTGGAGTTTTCTCCAGTCCTGCCTGGCCCATGGTCAGGACAAATCTCTCTCACCCGCCAGTCCCGCAGCTGCTGAGACCCAACTGAGTAAACACACAGAGACTTATATTGCTTACAAACTGTATGGCCATGGCAGGCTTCTTGTTATCTAGTTCTTCTATCTTAAATTAACCCATTTCTATTAATCTATACCTTGCCACATGGCTCGTGGCTTACCAGTATCTTATATGTTGGTACTCATGGCGGTGGCTGGTGGCATCTCCTGACTCAGCCTTCCTGTTCCCAGAATTCTCTTCTCTGCTTGTCCCGCCTATACTTCCTGCCTGGCTACTGGCCAATCAGCATTTTATTTATACAGAGCGATATCCATAGCACAGTACAGTATTTGGGCAGAAGGCTCCTTGAACCCTCTGGGGTATTTCTGTTTCTGTGTG